CTCTCTCTCTCTTTCTCTCTCGCTCTCTCTCTCTCTCTCTTCCTCTCCCTCCCACTCTGTCTGAACAAAAAATGGAAAAATGTCCTCGGGTGAGGATAAAAAAAAAAAAAAGGCCAAAATCATAAAACACCTGACAGTCTGCCTATCGGGGTCATGCCAAGAGGGATGGCTCCTTGAATTATTTTATGTTTTCTACATCCAAGACGTTGGCACTCATTTTTCCTTTGGAAAGACAAAGCACGTTAAACCAAGATCTTTTTGGTGTTTATGAAGAGATGATTTCAGTCTCATTATAATGTTTTGTTTATTATCAATGGGTATTTTCTCTCATGTACACCTACATATTCCATGATGCTATATTTACATTTCTTGAACACATTCAATTAAGACATTGTTAAAAGTTTAGAAAGAGTTCTCCTTTCATGGAATTTGGAAATTGAAGGTAGCATTTAGCAGGTTTCCTTGTCAACCACCATAGTCATTTTTAGAATCTCGAAGGGAGTAATTCAGTTACCCACACAGTTCTGCTTTCTAAGAACATGCAAGTCGGAGGTCTTTTGTTAAGCAAGCCAGGAAGTCTATAGCGATGTTCCGGACTCCAGCAGCAACAGTGAGAACATGACACCCTTCCGGTCTTGAACGGAGAAGGGCCATTTCTGTCTGCCTCTGGCCAGCGGAGGCCAGGGCCATGTCCTTGGCTCCTTCTAAAGAGGTTGTGAAAAGGACTGTGGGACACAGACATTCTGAACAGATGGGGAACCTCACTGTATTATTTAGCACTTTATCAAGTATAAGCCATCATATAAGTTACATTATCTAGTGCTTTTATCAAATATAAGTCATTACACAGCCTGTAACCAACAAAGTCTCCCAAATGACACTTCAGTCACTCTGAGCAATTCTAAAACAGTCCAATATAAAATCGTTTCTGGTGATACAACATTCTGCTGTGTGTATTTCAGATCGGACCTGTCACATGTTTTGAAAATAATTTTTGCCAAGAACTAGAGAGCAGTTGGCTTTCTTTCTGTACAATTCAGCAACTTTCCTTCATTTATTTATTTATTTTTAAATCCTCCCCTGAGGATATTTTTCCATTTATCTTCAGATAGAGTGGGAGGGAGACAAAAAGAGAAACATCGATGTGAGAGAGACACATTGATCGGTTGCCTCCCGCATGACCCAGACCAGGGCCCAGGTCGGAACCGCAACTGAGGTACATGCACTTGACCAGAATCGAACCCACGACTCTTTGGGCCACAGACTGATGCTCCAACCACTGAGCCAAAATGGCCAGGGCTCAGCAACTTTCCTTTACATCAATACTCTCCTGACTCCCTTCCTCCTAAAAAAAAACTTGCTTTATATTGAAATCTAACTTAATTTTGAAATAATGTTTATAGAATATTGACATTTTGTAGGTGGAAAAAATGGTCAAATATTGGTGATTTCTTAGAGTTGATAGGGTTGAGTATCATATTTTCAGTACAGTCTAAGTCTCAGTGTCTAAGTTGCTTTTCTGGAAAGCCATATTGGGACAAATTAATTTTGTTGCCCCGGTAACCTGCAACTTATTTCTTACCTACTTCCTATTCGTCGTACTGCCTTCTTTGGTTCCATATAGTATAACTATAACTTCTAGCACCAGTCTATACATTCCAGACTAAGACAAGAACGGTGCTATTGGGAAGACGAAGGCATTAATAAAAAGTAGACAACCGTGGGCTAAGTAAAGCCATGTTTCCTCACTTGTGTGGTTCACGAGGTGATTTTTGGCAGCTACTCCTTGAAGGACATTGTATGGAGCTCGCTTAACTTTGAGATACAGCCTTCAACCTAATTTCAACAAAAGCAGCCAGTGAATTTTGCAAAACAGTAATCATGCGATGACACCTTTGCTCAAACCCTCTGTTGGCCTCATTCATTAATGACCTTGAAGCTTTATATGGTGTGCTCTCAATCCCCTGCCCCCAGCACCATCCTCGACTTCATCTGCCTCTCACCCCCTCCTTTCTCTGCTCCAAACACCTCGTTCCTCTACACAGAAAGCAAGGTCCCCATTTGCTGAAATGCTGCTCCCCTAGACATGCTCACGGCTCTCCTTCGGGTCTCTTCTCCGAAGTGCGACAGTCACGAGCCCCACGCCAGCTGTTAGCTGCCCTGAACGTGATGGCATGCTTGCACCCCTGTACTCCATGTCCCTTTCATTCCACTTCACTTTAACCCACAGCACTTCTACCTGGTTTGGTTTGCTTGTTATTGTGATTTGTCCACCTCCCTGCGAATGAGGACCCACGATGGCAGATGTTTTCCCGGTTTTGTTTACTGAGTTTTTCTGTGCCCAGAACAGTGCCTGGGGCAGAGTAGCCATTCCCTTCAGCTCATGAAGGACGGGGGGATGGGGATGAGGCACCACCGTCCCGGTGGGGAAAGGATTGTTGTTCAGATTCACTCTACTCTAGCTGTCTCTGGGAGGTTAGGGGCCAATAACATCATTCTGCTTTTTTAAATTATTTTTCTTTATTGATTTTAGAGAGACAGGAAGGGAGAGGGAGAGAGAGATAGAACGTCAGTGAGAGAGAACATCGAATCGGCCTGCAACCTGGGCATGTGACCCAACTGGGAATCAAACCAGTGACCTCTTGGGGCATGGCTCAATGCTCAACCACTGAGCCACTCTGGCCAGGCCATTCTATTTTGTTTAAATTACTGTTGCCTTTTTGTGGCAAGTAGCCATTCAGCAACTGTATTGTAATCTTGATTAGAAGTGAATAAGTTAATTTCTTATGGAAACTTTATTGAAGTATAGCATACATATACCAGAAAAACTGTGAAAACCATAGATTAGATTTTCACAAAGTAAATACACCCTGGTACCTAGAATCCAGATCTACCAGGATCCCAAAAACCCCTTCATGTCTCCATCAATGTAATGATTCCCCAAAAGTTATACTACCCACATTTTAATTTTTTTTTATCCTCACTTGAGGACATTTTTGCATTTATCTTCAGATAGAGCAGGAGGGAAATAGGGAGGAAGAGAGAGAGAGAACCATCGATGTGAGAGATACACGAACTGGTTGTACCCACACAACCCTAACCGGGGCCGGGGACAAACTGCAACCGAGGTACGTGCCCTTAGTGGGAACCCACGACTCTCCAGTTCGTGGGCCAATGCTCTAACCGCTGAGCCAAACCGGCCCGGGCACTACCCACACTTTTAATATCATAGGTAGTTTTGCTTCTAGTTGAACTTTATACAGATGGAATCATACAGTACATACTCTTTTGCCTCTGGCTCCTTCCAGAGGAGCTAGTGTTCTTATTTCATGCAAACAGTACATGTTGCAAGTAATTGTAGTTCACTCACTTTCATTGCTGTGTAAAATTCCATTTTATAAATATTATCACAGTTTATTCACCCATTTCTACTGTGAGTAGGTATCTACGTTGTTTTTGCTATCTGTGTATTATAAATGGTGCTTCCATGAACATTCTTGCCTGGGTCTTTGGGGGAACATACCATTTGTGTAGGATAGACCCTAGGAATGGCGCGGGTGAGTCGGACGGTGCCTGCCTGCAGCCGAGCCGGTTCCAGACAGTCTAACGTGGTCAGCCCGGTGACGTTCTCCCAGCACTGTTGGCAGAGTCCAACTGCTCCTCGTGGCTACACTTCATCCCATGAGTTTCCATTTAGGCATCCTGGTGGGCCCATTATGAGGGCAATACAGTCTTACTAACATTGTTGAGCGCTTTTTAATGTATTTTAATGGACAAAGCAAGTCAGTTTTCCATAAATACTAAGTAGGTAATGGCAGCTGTGTGTGGAGATGGCAGAAATCATACAGACGATGATGTGTTAACTACATTAGTTAATGAATCCTTTACCACTGAGGTGCTCTGTGCCTGCAGTGAAGCTTTGCTCTGGTGACTTCGATGGACGGGAAACACTGGGAGTTCATTACGAATAACCCCTCTGTGCGGTGGGGTGGGGCTACCAAGGCTCATGTCGGAGCAAGCGTCCCCAGGAGGCCACCCATAAGCTGAGTCCAACAGGTGGAGCAGGAAATGGAAGTCAATGTACTTTTTGTCCAGAAAATAGAAATTAAGCCCAGTGTGAAGATGTGTGAACCTTTAGAACATCGCCAATGTTCAGGTGTGATTGCCGGAATTGATAAAGAAAAGCGCCAGCTTGCTCCCTGTAGGGCAAAACAGACTAGAAAAAAATGACTCGGCAGCCTTCAGAAGCCGAGGGCCGAGGGCGACCCGCGCTTGGTGTTCGGTTACACTGCAGATACCAAGTTATGCAGCTGGAGGTGTTTGAATTTAGCTCATATAATCTGCTGGTGATTTTTACACCAAGAGAAACATGCTTGTGCATGAATGGGAAAAATGTTTCGTGGGTCGCTTTATGCTTTCCAAGTGAGGCCCGATGTCAGGTCCGCTCTTTAAAATGTGGGAGTGAGCAGTACTGTTACCGTCACTGTCTAGAGAAACCACGTGGGCTTTCATACAGCTAAGATGCCGTCACGGATTAAATCGCAAAGCCCTGGCAGCCTCTGTTTGCCCAGAGAATCATTTCATTATCCTTTTCTGGGTTACAATTATTTATTTCAGCAAGTGTTTGATTATAGCATTAAAAGATACTTCTTTCAGAGCCAAAAGCAATAGCCAAGCGCATTTCTTTGCTACTACATTTTAGTTTGCTATTATTAAAAAAAACCAGAGGTCCTTGATCACCTTACATTTCAATATATTTTAGTGAAACCTTTCAAAACGGTTAGACAGAAGAAGGCTTATTTTTCCCAAAGAGTTTGAAAAATATTTGAAGAGTTTAAAACCCCATCGGGAAGGTCTATAATTTCTGAATAAGCCTTGTTCTACTTCAGGGCCAAACATAACTCAATCGTTGAAAAAAAAAAAATGATGGTGGAAATAAATGTGAAACAAGTGTATCCCTCGAGTCAGTCATCACAGCATGTGGTATTCTTTGCCTGTAGGTTGAAGAAAAAGTCCCAGTCGGTGGATATTACAGCTCCAGGGTTCAACCCTTTGGCCGGTGCAGGAAAACAAATGCCACAAGCCAGTAAGCCCCCTGCACCCAGGACACCCACCATTGAAGAAGAACAGAACAATACAGCCAATGCCCCGAAGCATCCTTCCCGCAGGAGCGAACTGAAGCGGTTCTACACCATTGGTGAGCAGCGGTTTCGTGCACGTGGTTACATGAAGTCTATCTAGACAGCTCTGCGAGTGCTTGGGTCCGCAGTCCCATGTCCCCTTCTTTGTGTGATGTGCATGTCTTTCTCCTGCTTTACGTGGGCATATTCGGATCTGGTCTGAACATGCAGATGGAAAAATACTGCAAACCTTCAGCAAAGTTAACTAAGCGCTTGCTGGAGGACCTTCGTCCATCTGGCCTCAGGGGAGTGAACTGTGTGTATAGTTTTCCAGTTTTTAAGCTTAGGTGCCATCGTTTTCATTTTCGCCATTCTTCGGCCAGCGCCAATTTGGGTTTTGGGTTTTTATTCTTTTCTTTTTCCCTCCAGGCTCTGGAGTCTCTGACCCTATTCTGTCAGGTTGTTGAGACAGTGGTTGATGTCAGCCTGTAACTAACAAAGCCACTAAGAAAGTAGAAAGTTATTCCATTCGGAGAGAACACATGACGTTGTAGGTCTCTCTGGGGCTTCACAGGACTTCACCTCGAGAGGCTGAATCACACCCAGAGCCTGTCGTGGGGAGGGTCTGTGGAAAGGGTCTTTCCAAGGTAGAATAATAGCCTGCAGTTTTGAACTTTGGTATTTAATTGCAGTGTTGTAGGTGATCAATCTAATTGAGTTGAATTATCAACTTTTATGTAACGATATTTGTCCATCATGTCTTTACGCTTGCTTTTTAGGTAACAAGAACAATTTTTAGTGTATAAGGTCTGTTTGAGACTAGAGATGCTAAACATATCATATATGGTAGAAGATGGTGCATAGAGGAAATACATCTACCTAGGGAGATGGTGGGTGCTTTGGCCTTACATATTACTTCATTTTGGAGAGATTTGGTCCTATCTAAAAGCCTCAGTAGTAGAGACTGTGTCTTAATGTGTTTACCAAAGTTACATCAAAGAGGTCGTGTTTTATTTGGTATCCACCACCCCTACACCCCCGATATAGGATGTTTGAATTTTTTTCTCAGATATTTCAGTGTCCCCATCTAGAAATGATAATTAGGAGATTGGGGTTCTAATTCTGATCCACACACCAGTTTCCTGTATGATTTCAAGTCATTTTCCTATGTCTTTGGGTTAAATTACTTCTCTGCAAGCTTGAAGAGATGCCTCCATGTAGGTCTAATAGGAGTTTCCCTTTCCATTGTTTTGTGTATCTACTTTTTCTGTATCTACTCTGAGGCTGCCTTTTTCCAGATCAAGATGTTTAAGTCTTATTTTTCAACAGGCAGTGAGCATGATGTCTTTAAGGATATCAATAGTCAACTAACAAGAATTGATATAAGAGAGTATACACAGGTGCATATTTCCATTTTTACAACTTATGATAGCCGATTTCAACAAATCAGTCAACTAGAAAAGCCCAGAATGTTCATAGAACTCCCTCCCCATTTTCCTGCGTCCTCTCCTCCCACCCTTCAACATGTCCACTGCCTTCTGTTGCTTTTCTGATTTATTCACTGCCTCAAAAGACTTGGTATTTTGCCTTCAGAAAATAGTTTATCATACACATTTAATCTCTAAAGCTGAGGAAACAAGAAAGACTGCCTAGGTTGGCCAGAAGAAAAAGAGAGCTATACCTACAAAATAGAAGGCTAAGTGGTGAGTTTGGATTGCAGAAAGAACTATGAGTTATTTTAAATAGCTCTGCCACTAGTGAATTTTTAATGATTGGATTTGAAACAGTCTGACCCATAATCAGTGTCAATGGTATGTCTGTTATGTTGAAAAAGACATCTAAATTGTGGACTTCAGCGTGTTTTTGTATCCCTTCTACTAACTCAGACCTGGAAACATTTTTAAGGCTGAAATGTTTGCAACCAAGCAGTCACCTGTATTGGAAGATCATTTCACAAAACAAGTCTATTTCAGTATCCCTTAGTAAAAGTATTATTGGTGATGAACAATAACATTTAAAATTATCATTAATGGTGATTCCATAGACCTGGTACTATCTTCTAATTATACCTTCTATCTCAGTTCACTCTAAAACAACTCTGAGAGTTAGGTGTTATACTCTTTATTTTTATAGATGAGAGATAGAACCTTAGATAAATTAAAGACAGAGACATGAGCCAGAGACAGCAGACTCTGCAAATGAAATTAACCTCCTCTTGTGATATTTCAGAGTCAGCCTTCTGTGTCAATAAGGATATCACGCCCCTCTGTACAGAGGTGAGCCAGAGGGGTTCTGTATGCAATATAGTGGAGTAATATTTTTACTGAAATTCCCAGATAATTTCACTTAAGGAAACCATGCCAACTAACCCATCCACCAGCCAATATGCACTTTCATTGAAAGATCTGACCTTTGCCTGACCTTTGCCCGACCTTTAGCATAGAATGCCTCCACCATCCCAAGCTTGATGAAGCACATTGTATACAAGTTTGTATCTTACAAACCCCAGAAAGCTTACCGATTCAAAAGAGAGCCTACAGGACCAGGCGATCCCTGGGAATTCTTCTGAGTAGTTGGCACAGTGAAAACAGTGATAAGGAGCTGGGAAACTCTAAACAGAGAAAAGCAAGATGCACCTTTAACTGCCATAAATTGCAATACAGCCGGCATGCGGACATATCAGCACGTAACTGGTGTGCCTCTCACTTTGAAGGCAGACTTTTTAATTATAAGAATAAAAAAGATCAATTCTAAAGTGAAAATACTGGAACAGGAGAGAAAAAAAAAAAAAGGAAAAAACTAATCTTGCTGGAGGCTACACATTCTACAGCGGGAAAGTAGGTCACCGGGAGCCAGAACCTTCTCTTCGAGCAAGAAGATGCTCCTGTGGAAGAGGGAGTCTGTCCGATCTACCCGGGGCCCAGCCCGGCAGGCAGACCACGGCCTGGAAGCACGGAATCCGAAGTGGGTAACTGCTCTCAGGGTTCAGATTGAATTATGCTCCTGAGATAAGTGACTTTGTTTTGAAGTTTGTGCTGACAGACTGATGATTTCTTACATTTTCTGGATCACAAGAATGTTTAGGGACATTTTTTTAATTGCTGAGGTTCCTCATTATACATGGAATCTGGAATTGCCTAAACAGACGTGGGCTGTTCACACATTTTAACAGCAGGTGCACATGTATAAGTGCCCTTTCTTTCTTTCTCTCTCTCTTTCTTTCTCTCTCTCTCTTTCTTTCTTTCTTTCTTTCTTTCTTTCTTTCTTTCTTTCTTTCTTTCTTTCTTTCTTTCTTTCTCTTTCTCTCTTTCTTTCTCTTTCTGTCTCTCTTCCTCTCTTTTATGCACTCGGCATAAGAATGGGTAATTTTTGTTAAGAAAGTAAATTTGAAGATATTGTGAATTCAAGCTTAACTTTTTGTTCATTTGCATGATGAGGCCTTGTTCAGTATATGAGAGTCTGGCAGGGATGGTGAGATATTTGATTGGGTTTTTATTTTATATTTTTTACTAATTCCATTTAAAACATGAGGTCTAGCCCACCCGGTATGGCTCAGTGGTTGAGCGTCAACCCATGCAGCAAGAGGTCACTGGTTTGATTCCCGGTCGGGGCACATGCCCAGGTTGTGGGCCAAATCCCCAGTGGGGGCATGCAGGAGACAGCCAATCAGTGTTATCTCTCCTCGATGTTTCTCTCTCTCTCCCTGCCACTCTCTCTAAAAACAAAAAAGAAAAAACATTAAATAAATAAAACATTAGATCCAGGAAAACCCACAGGTAGAAACCCTTTTTCATCTCTAGAATAAATATGAAACCTTAATTTTTTTCTAGAGAAATTCGATATTTTTTTGCTAAACATTTATACAGTTTTAAACTTGAGTAAGTGGCAGTTGGTATACTCAGAAGGAAGACAGAGGTCCATATGATACCCATGTAGAGAAGTAGTGTACTAGATAATAAGCGGGCCAACTTTAACTTTACAGGGGTGGCACTGTATTTTCTACATTCACCTATTCTTTTTTGCCCTAATTCTGGGATTTCTCTCTGTGAGAATTAATCAACCCAGAATCAAGAAACACAGCTTAATCATGGCCGTGATAAAAAAAATTAAGAAATGTCAATAACCCTGAGGTTCTTCTGAGCAACTCGGTGTGGTGTTTCAGTTGCACCACAATAGTCCTATAATTTATTAAAATGAAATGGTACCTGTCAACTTGATGATTTCTAAATTGCCTAACTAAACCTGTACTGGTTAAAATTGTGGAATGATTGAAATGCATTGTTTCATGGTTGAGAAATAGTCCTGATCCTGTCTGAAATTTGCTGAGTCCCTGCTGAAGTCAGTCTTTAGCCCCGTCAGTGACCCACACCTCCCTTTCTACCTCCGCACTTACAGGACGTCCTTCTCGCTGAGCCATGGCGTGGGGAAGAAAAGACTATCTTTTTTTTTCCAATTTTAATTTTTTAAAATTACAATTAACATTCAGTATTATATTTGATTTAGTTGTACAGCATAATGATTAGACATTTATAGAACTTACAAAGTGATCCCCCCATAAGTCTGGCACCCACCTGCCACCGCACATAGTTATTACAACATTGAATACATGCCCCGTGCTGTACAGTACTTGACATCCCTGCGACTATTGTGTAACTGCCAGTTTGCTCATTCTTCCTATCCATTAGCACGGCATATGCTTCCACTTATTTCTATCTTCTATTTCTTTCTTCAGCGTGTTATAATTTTCTGAGTACAGGTCTTTTACATCCCTGGTTAAATTTATTCTTAAGGTTTTTGGTTTTTGTTTTATGTCAGTGAGGAGTAGGGTTGGAAGGCTAGGTGAAAAAGGTGAAGGGATTAAGAGAAAAAAATACCCACCGACAAGAGTATGGTGATTACCAGAGGGAAAGGGGTGTGGGGGGAGGTAGAAGCAGGTCAAGAGGAGATAAATGGTAGCAGAAGGAGACTTGACTTTGGATGGTGAACACACAATACAACATACAGATTTTATATATATAATATATTATATACAGAATATATAATATATTATATATTATATAATATAATATATTATATA